TCCCTCCTAAAGTCCCTAGAGTGTAAGTGTTTCCGTGCCTGGAGTTGGGCGCCCATGTGGCTAATGACGCCACGTCAGCGCAGCCGGATTGTCGCAGGGTTTGGGCCAGGGTGGCTTCCCAAGCACAGCCAGCGAGATGTTTTTCAGGGGGCTCAATAGGTGGGATGAAGCTAGGTGGGCCAAAGCGCGCGTATTGTAGGTTTCATTATGTCGGGGCTTATTTCCTATACCCCACCTCCTTCCTTTACATCATCTTTTGAGCCACCTGAGTTTTAAGAGTCATGTTGGACTCCGGTCTATGCAACTCCCTGGGCCAAGATGCACCTGCCTGGAGGATACGGGGTGCTATAACTCAGTGATAACTGGCACGTAGAATCCTATTGTAACCACATTGGGGGACGTAGGGGGCTTATGATTGGGTTATAAGATAGACCCTAGATGAACCCTAAACCGCGGTGATGCTTACCCTGAACCTCCTGAGTGGCGCCACCAATCACTGCTAACAACCAAGGGAAGCCATGGCCTAAACTGTAAAGCCATAAAGCCCAAAACCCCTAAAACCCTACACCCTTGCTAACCCTAAACACCTAAAAACCTAAACCCTAACACCCCACACCCCTAAAGCCCTAAAAACCCATAAACCCTTAAACCCCAAAACCTAAAAACCCTAAACTCCCTATAATCCTAACCCTAATATAACCCCAATGTATTATAGTAGTTTCCATTCTCTTTTCCATTATCCCAATATAACCCCAACATATCCCTTTAATCCCTATATACCCCAATATAGTAGCTTCCATTTTGTTTTCCATTATCCCAATGTAACCCTACTATAACCCTAATCCAACTGTGGCTGCCACCGCTCTCAAGCTCCACTTTGTCGGAGTCAAGCCTGCCTCGGCGCCGCAAAGGCTGAAACAACTGGGTACCCCAATAATGGAGAATCAAATGGAAAAGAAATTGGAAAATGAAATGGGAAACTACTGTTTAGGGTTTAGGGGTTTAGGCTTTAAAGGCTTTGGGTTTAGGGGTTTAGAGATTTGAGCTTCAGGGTTTGGGGTTTAACGGTTTGGGGATTAGGGTGTAGGGTTTAGGGTTCAGTAGGGATTGCATAGGGATTACAAAGGGATTATACAAGGCTTCTATTGGGCTCATATAGTAGGATTATATACGGCTATGTAGGGACCAAGAATGGAATATCAACTGGAAAATCAAATGGCAACTTGACTATATAGTGATGTTACTGACAGGACTACGTGGAGGTTCAGTGGATCTTGTAAGTAGGTTAAAATCCGTATACCCCATCTAGTAACCCTAGTTATCCTCACTATTAACCTATTTATTAGGTGCCCTGACCCTGCAAGTAGTAGGCTACAATCCCTATAAAGTCCCAAATAATAAGCCCAGTTTCCATTTCATTTTCCATGTTCTTTCCATTGGATTCTCTATTATTTGGGCGATATATCCCTGCTCCTTATTTCTCCCCATATGTCCCTATGTATATACATATATCTATATATATATATATATCTATATACGTACATGTGTATAGGGGTAGGTCCGTGGTCACGGCTAGTGATGGCGGTGTTGCCCTCCTCGCAGGTCTGCTTCGCAAACTGCCGCAACTCCGCCAGATCCTGGGGCTCTGAAAAGTCTGCAAGTAAGATTCGGATCATACAGGGATTATACAAAGGTTATATAGGCGTTATATAGGGATTACACACGGATTATAGAGGGATCACATTGGGAGTACATAGGAATCATATAGTAGTCCTCAACTAAGATAGGGATTATGTGGGGATCACGAGGGCTGTAGTCAATGTTTCCCCATATAACTAATGGACATGGGGTTATTTACGAGGGACAATATTAGGGACCATACAAAAGGGACCCCTATGTCCACCGTCAAGTAAAGCTCCCTTAGCAGGCTAAAATTGAGTAGCGTTTTGTTGGTGGTTGAACCTAGTAAGATTGTATTTCTTATAGAAAATACGATACCCAAAAGGAGAATATAATCTTACTCTATTATGGGCACCATAGTATCCCCAAATAAAAATCTACTCAATTGACAGTAGCTCTTGTTGTAATCCTCTACATAACTGGGCGCTGTAGGACCCAAAGAGGCGCTGTGGAAGTGAACATCAACTTGCCCGCCTCGTTGAAGGCCAGGCGCAGCTGTAGGACCTCGTCTTCCACAGCTTTGTGGGCTCGTCGGATTGCCTCCAGGGCTTAGGGCTTAGGGTTTAGGGTTCAAGGCTTAGGGTCTAGGGTCCAGGGTTCAGGTCTCATGCATGGTGGTTGAACCTTGTAAGATTGTATTCTTTATGCAAAGTGCTTTACTCCAAAGGAGGACGTTATCTTATGTTTTTGGGGGACCAGCGTATCCGCAAATAAATTACTACTCACATGGCCTTCGGTGAAGCTTGGAATAACCCTAAATCCTAAACCCTAAAAACCCTGAAACCCTACAATCCTAAAACCCAAAAATCCTAAAACACAAAAAACATTAAACCACCAAAAAAACACAAATCCTAAACCCTAAAACCCCAGACCCTGAAACCCTAGAACCCTAAACTCTAAACCCTACACCCTAAACATCCCGGCCTCCAAATCTGTGCAGCTGGCAGAACCCCTCAAGGACTTCTCCATCTCCTAGGATAGAGTTAGGGTTTACGTCTAGGGGTTTAGGGTTTAGGGTGTTTAGGGTGCAGTCAGATGACTTTTCGTCTGCATCTGCACCGAGTTCAGGGTTTAGAGTTTCAGGTTTTAGGGCTTAGTTTAGCATTTAGGGTTCCGGGATTGTTGGGGTTAGGGGATAGATTTAGGGCCCTATAAAAATCTCAGGATATATAAAAATAATGGAACAAGAAAGTGGGAAATTCTATTTAGGGCTTAGGCTTTGGGGTTTAGGATAGATCTAGAATACCAATTCAAAATCAATGCTTTATGGGCTGTATCACAGTTATGTAGAGATTATGGTCCAAGTATGAACAATACTTTCAATAGCTTTTATAGTTATTGTGTAAGGATTGTGGTCCTAAACCCTAAGCCCTAAACCCTAATGTCCAAGGAGTATCCCGGTCTCCTCCTGCTTGGTGGCGAGATCTGCCACCTCTTCCTTCACCTTGGCAACACCAGCCATGGCTTCCTTCACGAGTGCCTCCTGCATTCAGGTAGGAGATGCTGTGTCTCTGGGTTCGACATGCTGAAGTGGTAGTTTCCCAAAATAAGGCGACCCCAATATAGACCAGAAAATATTGTAGTCCTTATTATTGGGACCCCCAAAAAGGATACCCCTAATTTTGGGAAACTCCCAAGTCTTACAAGCTGTGATCCTACCTGAGCCCGTATGGCAGCCAGCTGGGCTTCATCGCTTTTGCTCGAGGATGCCGGGGCGACTTCTATGTTTCCCCTTGCTTGTGTGCCAGAACCTGGGTTGCTGTTAAGGACCTTAATCTAAGTTACTATATTGGGGGAACCATATTAATTACTATATATACCCATTATGGTAACTTAATTTAAGTTCCTTAACGGCAACCCAGGCACGTGAAGTCGACAGGTGCGCCACGGACGCCGGCGATGCAGAGCCGGCGTCAGACCTTGGCGAGAAGGTCGCGCCGCGTGCCGGCATGCGAACCGACTCGCTGGGCGTTGGCTCCACGTGAAGCGATGCAGAAGACATGACGGCCGGAGCTGTCGCAGCTAAGTCATCTTCCATAGTCGACGCTGTCACTGCAGTATTCATCTGAGCCTGCACGTTGCATCATACAATTACTGCATCTAAAAAGTCTTAAGATGAGCTGAAGGCATCCGCGCCTGAGTTGCCAACGTGGCGGCCATCTGCCTTTGCCTAACAAACAAGAAGGGGGAAGCCGGGCCCAATTGCAGGCACTACAATACCCAGTTTTAGAATCCAAGAAAGCCTTAACATGGACCTTGTTCAGCCCTTAGAAGTCTTCGTTCCGGGGGGGGGCTAAACCCTAAACCCCTAAACACCAAAACCCTAAAATCCCTGGGGGGTATTTTTTGGGGATGGTTTCATAATCTCTTGACTTTAGAAAACCGCGTGCAGCCTGCTGTCCATCGACTTCAACTGCGCTCCCAGGTCATCCGCTTTGGCAAGCGCACTCCGAGCCAAGTCCTCCGCGCATGGGAAGGGCTCCGGGCCTTATATGGAGGTTTCCTAAAAGGGTTTAGGGTTTAGGCCTTATATAAAGGGTTATAGGGATTCTATAAGGATTGTAGGGTATATATTGGGGTTATATTGGGATAATGGAAAAGAAAATGGAAACTACAAGATTATATTAGTGTTTAGGGGTCTAGATATTTGTCCATTTGATTCTCCATTATTGGGGTCATGTCCATAAAGCTCGTTAAGGCCCCTAAATAACCCCTGTAGCCTAAACCCTGCATAACCCCAAACTCTATACCCTGTAAAACCCCTAATCCCAAATCCTAAACCCTGCAATGTTGGACCTGGTTTTGTGTTAAGGTCCGCTACAATGTGTTCTAGGGCCGCCTTATTCAGGATAACAGGGTTTAGGGTTTAGGGTTTAGGGGTAATCCTGGAAGGTCCGCCTTAATGTGTTTTGATTTTGGGCCCCTAAAAACATAGGAAAGATTGGCATCTCTCCCTTTTAAATCAATCCACAGGACCTCAGAACCGTGGGAGGCTAAGGGCCCTTATTGAGGGACCGTACTTTCAATTTTTCTGAGGGCCCTATTGTTAGGGGGGGCGGGTGACCCCCAAGATTAAAGCGGGTTCCACATTATGACCCTACACCCTAAGCCCTCAACCCTGTTATGGCTTGGGCGTTTTCCCTACCCAGCCTCGACTTCCAACAGAACGTCCTTGCTGGCAAGGTCCCCGCTCAAATCCTACCAGGCAGCGACCAGGCTCTCTTCTTCAACAGCCAGGCGGCTTATCCCAACTCAAGGCCATTTGGTACTACTCCCTATATAAACCACCACTTAGGGTGAGGTCAGGTGAGGTCGCTTTAAAATCGCCCAGGGTTTGCATCTGCCTGAGCCAGCTGCGCGCGGGCAAGCTCTGCAG